CCTGCTGAGCCACGGCTTGGGAGCAGCCGGCGCATGGCCGGTATCTGCTCCGTGGCTTCTCTGCCAGGGTGCAGAGCCCCTGGCTTTCAGTGCGGGGTCTTGGTGCCCCGTCACAGTCCTATAATGTTGTTTATAGTCACCAGTCCTGGCTGTCAGTGTTCTGTGCTGTTATTTAGCACTAATTTACCTCTAATTAGCCTATAAAAGCCCCATAAGAAGTGGAAGCGTTGATAATGCTGCTGGTCAATATTGACCTCCCGTTGGTTCAGCAAATTCTCTGGTTTGGCATCAGGCAAGTCCTGAAAGTTCAGGACTAGAGAGATTCAAGATGTATTTCCACACAATGGCTTGCAGAGGAAGAGAAGGGGGAAAAAAGAGACAAAGCATTTTTTGATATGATGGATTTGTAACATTCATGGGAGTGTTTAAACCCTTTTTCCAAACTAAAGGGAATCAAGCTATGAAAAGCTTCAAATGCCAAAACCGGAAGAAGCTCAGTGATGCAGCAGTTTACTACATAGTTCTTTCACTTGTGGAATCCTCACTTCAAATCCTCGTGCATGTTTAAATACATTGACACTAGTGGCCTAATTCTCCTTTGTGTACATTAGAGATGATGTGCACAATCCGACATGATTATCAGTCTCTGGTACGTGAGTTTCAGGAGTGGAAGATCAGTGCTGTTCAGCTGCAGAGAAAAGAGGAGGCTCATATAAGTAGAGTAAAATCAATTCTCTTTGTTACAGAGCCAGATCCACAGAGCTAAGTTCTGATTTTAGTATTTTTTGTAGATATACAAACATGGATTCACTATTTATCATTGAACTAGAAGACTTATCCAGCATTGCCCAGGCTCTTCAGGGCAAGGGATGGAGGGGTTCAGGGCAGGGGGTGAGAATGGCTGCTGCCTTCTCTCTGGCCATGGCTCACGGCAGTGGGGACCAGGCACCTCACCTGCTGGCTTCTCCACAGGGACTGGCAGAGATTTCCTCCCTCTCCCATGGGCCCTCCTGTAGTGGGGGGCTAGTAGCATCTCCTTCCCTCCCCGTTGGCTCATCCCAGGGTGGAGAGGCCAATGGGGGCTTTCTCCCTTCCCCTGGTCCCTCCTGGGGTGGTGGTGGCTTTCTCCATCCCAAGGGAAGCAGCAGGGGGCATCTCCCTCCCTTCTAACCTCTCCCAGGGTAGGGAAGGATCAGGGGCTTTTTTGGAACCCCAGCTCCAGCCAGCCATCCCACCTCCAGCTCCAGCTGGGTAAGTCTTCTAGTTTAATGATAAATAGTGAATCTCAGCTCCAGCTAGCCACTCTCTTGGTTGTACAGCTGCCTCCAGTGGTCCCTCTGAAGTATAGCTCTCTCTTGTACTCACTACCCTCACTGACACTGTGAATAAAACATCCCTCCAAACAGCTCCTCCCTTTCCATGTTATGAAAAACAGTCCCATTCCCTGTACTTCCAGTTTTCCAGGCACAACTAAACCCTGACCTTGCTTTAAGTTAGGAGAATAGGAAGCTGCATACCACATTTCGTGGTCTTAGGTGTTACCATTTAGGAGGAGTTCTTGAACAGACTCACAGACAGACCACCAGACAGATATACAGTTCTAAAATACATAGGTAGAATATATGTATTCTTCAGAGTCTTTTGGAGAAACAGGGAAGTAAAAGAAGTTCATCTTTAATGCATATACATGTTTTAAAACTATACAGATTTCTTGTCATAATATTTAACAGTAGTTTACACTATGAAAACGGAGTCCTTTATTTTATCAGTATATTTGATGTTTTCCTTGTAGGCAATTATTGAACCATATTTTAGTATGAATATAATATTAACAAATGCATTTTCAGTAGTTTTGGTAAATAGTAGAACAGAATATAAGTCAAGAAATGTAGCTCAATAAACGTCTAAAAGAGACACTGAAATTGTAAAATGTTCTTTCAGATCTACTTAGTTAAAAATAATAATAGAGCTTTGTACTTTTGATTAAAGGGATTCTTCTTAACACTCCTAGAAAGTGATGCTGCTAAACAAGAACGATGCACATGAAATTGCTTTTTTAACACCCAGTAAAGGTTTAGAGTGAGCTCAGAGAGGTGTAACTGGCTGGAGCTAATTAGGTACGGCTGTGCCTCATTTGGTTCAGTAAGTGAAAAAGGGAGTGGGTTATTCCTAGGATGGATAGGAAGCTACTGCTGATTAGAAGCAGGGGCTAGTCACAAGAAACACAAGGCCGGTCCTTGTTGGCTTATATATGAAGGGAGTACAGCTAGAAACTTTTTGTCAAGATTGAATTGTTTAGCTGAATTTAAATAACAGCGACAAAAAAAGTTCTGCTGCACCTTAGAGAAGTGGATTGTGCCCACAAAAACTCAGGAAACAATCTACATTTTTTTGTTAGTCTCTAAGGCTGTGTCCAGACTCAGGGGTTTTTTCGGGAAAAGTAGCCTTTTTCCGAAAAAACTTCCCCTGCGTCCAGACTCAAGCCGCGTTCTTTCGAAATTAAATCGAAAGAACGCGGCTTTTCTTTCGATGGCGGTAAACCTCATTTCACGAGGAAGAACACCTTCTTTCGAAAGTTCCTCTTTCGAAAGCAGGCGTTCTTCAATGTAAATAGGGCTTCTTCGAAAGAGAGCATCCAGACTCACTGGATGCTTTCTTTCGAAAAAGCAAGCCGCTTTTTCGAAAGTTCAACGTGCAGTCTAGACGCTCTCTTTCGAAAGAGGCTTGCAGTCTAGACATAGCCTAAGGTGCTGCAGAACTATTTGTTGTTTTTTCAGTTAGAATAACACGGCTCTGAGACTTTAAGCTTAATTAGAATTCCTGATGGAAGGAGTTTCCTGTTTAAACTTATCTCCTATGAACTCTTCTCAGACCCTGTTCCTGACATGCAATTAATAAATATGATGCATTTATTATTTCAAAGATGTTACTAAGAGGAACTTTGAATTAGAATTGGGAATGAACTCTTCTTACATGAATACCCTCAAATATCTAAAAAGGGTTGCTTTTGTGGTAGATGTGACAGATTTTAGGCTCTTGTTTGATAGTTGATATAATAATGACTTTAATCATTCAGTATTTCATATCTGCTACAGAGCAAAAATGATGTTGGGAGGGAACCATAAGAAAATAGCTCTGCCTTTTTTAAAGGCAGTCAGTGAAATGGATTCAGATTGACCATTCCACTCTGAATGATCCAAGTGTTAAATCATGGTTCTGGATTAGAGTTGATAATTTTGGACTGAGGATAATGTTCTGAAAAGATAAGAACACAGTTTGTGTAAAGTAGCATACAGAATACGGAGTGAATCTGAAATACATACAATAAACTTTGCATAATGGTTGATGGTGATAATCGCCTCAGAAGAGATATCTTCGTGAATTCTTTTGAGAGTCTGGAGGATGGTGGTGGGTGGCATCTTAAACTAACCTAGAAAGTATGACTGAGGAAATCCAGGAAGAGGCAGAAGAGGCAGATGAGAAAAGGTGCCTGTTACCAATGGGGAAAGAACCCAGTTTTGGATTTGTGGATACTCTGACATATCACCCTGCCAAAGGGTCAGGGAAGGAGAGGATGTTGGACATTTTTAAAGTCAATTATATGGGCACTGAAACATCTCATACAATACCTGTCTAGGATAGCTATTGCACATTAAGACTAGTTATCTTGTGCATTCTGTATTTTTTTATTTCATTACAACTATTTGTACAAATTCTTAGTACATTTTTCTATTACAACTCAGGTGGCTTTAGATTTCTACACGGACACATGCAGACTGTTCTGGAGAGTCGACACAACTGTTAATGGCTAAGAATCAGTGAAGTTAGTGTTCAGGGAGCCTACGGAGCTTGAGAATTTAGATCAAAAGGGCATAAACTCAAGACTCCTCTCCCACAAGCTGTGTCAATGTCAGGGTTGTCAATCTCATGGCTGTGATACTCAAAGTGCAAGAAATACTATAATTATGAGAACAGAACTGAAGGGGCACAGGATGACAGTCCTATACGAGGCTCTCTTAATGCCATATCTTTGTACATATCTTTCAAAAAAGTGGAGAAAATGTTCATGCCATTATAAAAATTCATTATGTTCTGGGTTTCATTGAACTGAACGCTGTAGGAGCTATGAGACATACCAAATCAAAGACCTTCCTGATTAGGCCTCCTGGGAGTAGGATTTTTTAACAGTGAACTGCTATCAGATTGACTGCATTGCTAACCATGTCTCTCGCACTTTCTACCCTTACTGGGCTAGTGAAATTAGAGAGCTCTTGGAATGGGTTTCACTGTGTGTGGCCTATTGTACTGTCAATATATGTGAGTTATTCCCATTAATAATAGTGTGAGTTACATGTACAAAGTTAAGGTAAAATACACCTTTTTGTGCTTTAAGGTAGGTTAAACTTAAAGAAGGAAAGTAGTGAAAAGGCACTCTTTTGCGACAGCATATTGAAGTAGGAGTGGGCTGTTTCATATGGGAAATTGGCATTGTTTCATACATACAAATGTATATATTGATGAGAAATAAATGAATATGTATGCAATTCAACACAGTGAGGTTCAGGCCTTATTCCTTAATACTTTCCTTTTCTCCCCCACCCTTCACCATTCTTCATAAGTTGCAGTGACTTCAAAGTGAGTTCAGGCTCAGGAAGTTCCTATCATCATAATTCAGTAATACAAAACCATATTATTATTTATATTGCAGTGTTGCTTAAAGGGTTTGGGTTTCAGAGTTCTAGTCACTGTATAGACATAAAATAATAGTTCCTCTCTCAAAGAGTGTCACAAATATATATCAATGGTACTCTATTAAAAGTATATACAAGTTTGGAAATTTTGCAGAAAGTTTTTTTTTTTTTTTTAACACAGAATATAATGTTTTCAATTGACTTTTCCTTACAGGTGAAGAAACATCATGCAGAACAGATGATTTAAGGTTCTGTATGTATGTAGAAGGCATTAAATGATATTGGTAAATGACTTTCTTTGAGCATGTTAACACATTAGTATACTGAAGTTTTTCTAAACATCAATTAGTACCATGAATGGCAGAAATTACCTTTTTCTTTCCTCTACAGATTACAGTTGTCAAACTTCATTGCACTTCAACCCCCTTCTGATAATAACAATTATTGCATGATCCCAGGAGGAAAGATCAAATGCCTGACTGCCCCAGCATGGCTATGTCTACACTCGCGGCTTCTTGCGCGAGTAATATGCAAACATTCATTTGTTTTGATAACCCGAAGTAAGATTTAACAGAACTTTCCATTGCATGGGTTTTACAGTGGTGGAAATCCATTGACTTCAATAAAATTATTGGGTTAGACCTTTATAGTCCCTTCTAACCCTATGGCTCTATGACTCTTTAATTACTAGCCAATTAGCCCATCATAAGACGGGATATTCAGGTCTCTCCTCCCCGTCGGTCTTCTCTCCTGAGCCTCCGGTCTCTCTCTCTGTCTCTCTCTTTCTCTTCTCCTCCCCCTCCTGCCTCTCACTTGAGGGACCGCGGAGCCCAAACGGGCATTTGGGCTCCGCACTCCCCATGCTGCATGGAGAGCGCGGAGCCCAAAGAGTCGCTTGCGCCACTTGCTCCCACATGGCGGCCTGGCTGAACGGCACAGAGGTCACTGAGCGCCACGTTCACGGCAAGAGGGCGGGGCCTGGAACCGCTGTCATGCCGCACGTCACCGCCCCACCCCCTTCGCCTTCCGCCGTGGCACTCGCCTGACTTCTGCACTGCTCAGCCAGGCCGCCACGGGGGAGCAAGAGGCTCAAGCGGCCGTTTGGTTCCCGCACTCCCCATGCAGCATGGGCCACCCAGAGGGAACAGCCAGCATTTTAGCAACAGCGCCCCCCCCCCCAGGGGGAACAGCCAGCATTTCGGCGTTACAGACTCTCAGACACTGGGCTACAATTTATATCAATTCCTCATTTACATCAGAATATGTGGAAGAATTAATCCTTTATAGAATCAGGTGGAATATTACATCATTTGACAAATTTTGATTTTACTATATTTCCAAGCTCATCTTATTTTAGTTCCTTCAGTTTTGGTTATATCAAGCTACTTCTATTTCATCTTCTGCCAAAGATCATATTTATCACAAGTCTTTTTCTTAAGGAAAAGAGCATAAATCCTTTTCTTTCATTTTCACTGGGAAACTCCCAAGTTTGTTAAATAAACTACTTTTCAAGGCAGAAACAATCAATTCGCTGAGTTTAATTTCTCTTACTTTCCTGGCAAACTAATCCCAATTCACAAACACACAGATGAAGCAGAAAGCAAATAGTTAACCTGCGGAACTCCTTGCTGCAGGAGGCTGTGAAGGCTACAACTAGAACAGAGTTGAAAGGGAAGTGAGATCAAGTCATGGACGTTGGGTCCATGGAGTAGTCTTAGCCAGGGGGTAGGAGTGGTGTCCCTGCCCAAAGGTTGTGGAAGGCTGGAGAGGGATGGCACGAGACAAATGGCTTGGTCACTGTCTTCGGTCCATCCCCTCCAGGGTCCCTAGGGTTGGCCGCTGTCGGCAGACAGGCTACTGGGCTAGATGGACCTTTGGTCTGACCCAGTATGGCCATTGTAAGCTCAGGGCTCAGGGTCAGGGGTCTCAGTGGACCCCCTTGATTTTCATGCACACCTGCTCCTGGGTGGCCAGGCTGGCAGCTCTCCTGCCCTAGATGGCCACTTTCCTGTGCCTAGTGCGGAGATTGTGGACGAGGTCCATGATGTCCGCACTAGCCCAGGAAGGTGCCCGCCTCTTGCGGTCCAGGGCAAGCTCCCGGGAGCCGCCAGCCTGGTCCCGGGAAGAGGGGGTGGGCTGGGGGGCATCGGGTGGCTGGCTCGATCCGTGCCAGGTGCAGGGTCTGCTGGCTGGGTGCTGGCAGGCTTGCACCTGGCACGGGCACCGTAGCCAGCCCGTGCCCCTTTAATGGGTCCGGGGCCGGGAGGGGGGCATAGAGTTTCCCTGGTGTTGGCCAGAGTGGCCACCAGGGAAACCTGGGGAGGGCTAGCCTCCCACTAGTTCGAATTAAGGGGCTACACACCCCTTAATTCGCACTAGCTAGTTCGAACTAGGTTTAATCCTCGTAAAATGAGGTTTACCTAGTTCGAACTAAGCGCTCTGCTAGTTCGATTCAAATTCGAACTAGCGGAGCGCTAGTGTAGCGCCTATTAAAGTTAGTTCGAACTAACGTCCGTTAGTTCGAACTAACTTTGTAGTGTAGACATACCCTAAGTTATCTCAGTAGTTCATGCTGACCACCAGAGAAGATTTAAGTATATGCTTAAATTCTTCACTCAGCTGGTGGAATTGGAGGTAAAGTAAACATAAACAAACAAACAAACAAAAAGAGAGGCTCCAGGAACTGCAGTGTGGGTAATCAGGCTGAGTGACTGAAGCAGCAGTCAAGAGCTGGGAAACAGAATCAAGGGTCAGAACCAGGTTATCTGAAGTTAGGGAAGGCAGGAACAGAGGTCTGAGACAGGAATGAAGTTGGGAGAGGGCTAGAACAATGTGAGGAATCAGGAACAAGGTGAGGAAGTAGGAACAAAGCAGATTAGAGTTTTATCTTGTTGTGCAGACAGGCTCTAGGTGTTCCTTCAAGTTTTAAATAGCACGCCTGGCTTAATCAGTATATTCCACAAGTCAGGGATTCTGAAAGTAGGATATCCAGAGATGCTTGGCCCCCAGAGACTTACATTCCATTGATCTCTGCCTTTTCAGAGCTGGAGGGATGCAATTTGGATATAGCAGTCACCAGGTACCCACAGATTCAGGTTCTAGCCCTAGGTTTCCTCCTGAGGGAGGAAGATCAAGGGAATGGTGATGAAAATACATGAATGCATAGAACAACTAAACAACAATAATAATAAGCTTTATTTTCTGGCCAGTCACCTGACCTATGCAAAAGGTTAATATCCACCTATTCCAGTGTTTATTGTTTCAGGGGGATAAGACAGGGTAATTTGTTCAAGATGAATGAAATGTTTATGAAATATAAGATGTTATTTTCTTGATTTACACAATCAAATATTTGAGGTTCTGAAATCTTTCATTTTCCATTTTCCCCCTCACTTTTATACTTCTCACCAGGACAGAACATTCAGAAATATAATCCCATTTCTGGGGTATTTCCATCTGAAGTAGTAGCAGGAAAATCACAGTGGAGTACATTTTCTCATGAAACTTGCAATATAATTCAGCAGATTCAAAATGGTGAGAAAGTTTGAATACACTTTCCTTAAACACTGGCACTGCTAGATATTCCAATCTATGTGTGAACAATGACAATTGAGGTTTACTCATGTCCATTCTGGGTGTATGAGTGCTCGCTGTACTTCAATATTCTTATGTTATAGTCAGATATAAAAAGTAACACATCTCAATCATCAGGATGTATTATATTCTAATATGAGATCACAATGCTTGCATTACCTATTAATGAGAATACACCATTCTTCACATTCAAGCTTATAAATTTCAGAGGGAGTATTTTGCTTTATATGAGTAATCATTTACCCAGGGAACAGATTGCTGATGATTATTTACAGCTCATTCACCACAGAATGAAAGCTGAACATATGACACTATAACAGTAATTGATATAGTATCTCATCCCAATGGCAGTATCTTGCTTCCCAAGAGGTTAAAATTTTTAATAGTAACAGACCATGGAGCAAAGTATAAACCTAAATCATTTAGGACTAAAAATTAAATCATGATATCTCTCTAACTAATGCTATGAATCAAATCTGTGATTTAGTAATTATTGCTAGAAGCAAGAGAAAATACAGAGGTGTTAATTGTTTGAACTAATTACAATCTCCTTACAGGTATTAGAAGACATAATTTAAGACAGTGCTGAAGGGAAAGATTTAAAAATCTTGAAGCAAGACAGGCAAGGAAATTTAGTGTACATATCAACTTGACAGTGCAGATGCCTAGAAGATATAATGCTCAGACATTATGAAGTATTTACAAGGGCATGAAAGAGAAAATATTACCTTTCCTTTTCCTTTCTTTGTTCAGCAGCTGTTTATCTTTAAGGTCACTCACATGCATCATTTAGAGTTTCTTTCACTTCACAAGAGACAATACTAAGAGTCCACCTACTTGCCAATGTGAGAGAAAAAAAACTTGAAAACTTAGGAATGTCCGCTTGGTAAGCAAGTCGACATTATTTTCCCTCAAATTCCTTGGGCAGGTGGGCAACAAATAGGAAGAGCTTAAGGTGATGCTCTAGGAAAGAAAACTTAACACAGAAGCCAGGTCTACAATGGTAGAGAAAATTGATATAAGATACACAATTTCAACTATGACAATTGTGTAGCTGGAGTCAACATATCTTACATTGATTTTCTGAGGCAGCCCCACAGCAGGAGGTCAACAGGAGAAACTCTCTTGTCAACTTCCCTTACTCCTTGCAACTGTAAGGAGTACCACAGTCAACAGGGACACCTTTAGAGTTCCATTTACCAGGTATCTACTAGACCCGGTATTTGAACCCCAAAAGATTGATTGACAGAGTGTCGATCCTCTGGTAAGTATGGACAAACCCAGAGATGTTAAGCTCAATCAGACTACCAGAATATTAATTTTCATAACTCTCAGGGGTGAAATATTGAATTTTGTTACTCCTGTGAAACTCTGAGTTGCACATGGTATATTCATTAAACACATGCTTAAATGCTTTCCTGAATTGTGGCCTAAACTAGTATAGCATGTACATAGGTATAACTAGAAATACTCAGTTTTTATTTACATTTATTTTATCCCTGTTGTTTTTTATTGAAATCAAAACATTTCATGGGAATGTGCTAATTTTGAAAAAAAATCAATGGAAGAGATGATTTCTTCATTTTTGTTCAATAAACTCAAAATATTTAATTTCAATAAAGTAGAAACATTGTGTCAACTTTTGTTTTGAATTATTAATTTGATTTTATATTATATATTTGACATTGTTTCAGTGTTTCTGGTTTTTTAATTTCAGAGAAAAAAATGACTTTATGCTCTAAAAATATTAGAAATTTTGTTCAGAATGTTGCAATTTCCCACGGAATGGAAATTCTATTTTCCAGCAAACTCTAGATATAATAGAACCACTTGTGGTCCAAGGTATGGTAGAGAAGACAGTATTTTATTGTATATAAACTGCAAGAGATAAACTGAAATAAATAGTTACCTGCCATGTACAGAAGTCTATATCAGGATAAAGAAGTTGCCATTTTTTATTGTTTGTGTAACACATTAAAGACAAGAATGAAATTAGAGAAATAATGTTGGACTTAATATTTTCTAGAAAGGGGTTGATAATAAGAAACATGGAGGGGAGAAGAACAACGTCATACTCACTCCTATTATAAAACATTAGCTTCCAAAGCTAGCAGCTAATGGAAAAGAAGAATATTCAATCCAACAATTGCTATTTAAGGCCCTGGCTCAGGAAAATACCAACTGATGTACTTAGGTCCTATCCTATTCTATACACCTCTTAAACACTTGTATAAATGCCATTTGACAGGATTTAGGCATATGTTTAAAGTTAAACATGTGCTTATCTGCTGTCCTAAATTGTAGCCTAAGTAGCTAAAATACAGCTGTACTTTGTTTATTTAGCATTTTAGGCTGTTGAACATTAAAAAGTGGAAATTGTTGAGATTTACACATCATGTGAACATTTTTAGTAGGCTTCATTATGTGCATATTTGATTCTAGTATCCTGCCAAGTAAAACTGTAACTCAATTCATAATGAAAAATATTAACTCCTTTATAAATAGCCAAAGCAGATATGAGGGGAAGTTAAGAAAATTAAAACTAGGTCATGTGCACAACATATTCTGCTTAAAGAAAAGGGCAACAATTGCCCTTGGAGGAAAGGATAACGACATCAAAGTTTTGGCAACCTCTCTACGCAAGCCACAGGAATCAGCTAATTTGCTACTAAAATATAGCCACAAGCATGGCTCCCCCTTTTTAACTGAAAGTACTGAATGTGCTTGCACCATTATATATTTTTGAAAGTGTTAGAATATGGACTAGTATACCAATATTGAGAAGCAGCTTTTTCATAGAATGATCATAGATATATGGGGCCTTTTGTATAAGAGGGGTGAGGTTGTTTTTCTTTAACTGTGTACCTTTTCCATACTTGTAGTGTTTGTGCTTTTGTTTGCTATTGCTATGATTAGCGTTTGGTACACTGCTATTACCAAACTTTATGTTCCCAATATGTAGATGGTTTTCTGGCTATGTTCTTGACAGCATATGCTTAGTAACTGTTCTGTTCCATTAAGAAGAGTTATATATTTTATACATCATTACATCAAATGTGAAGATCTTGACTCTGAGATTGGCTAACATGGTGCCTTTATTTTGGAGTTTTATTCTCTTTATAGCTCCAGCCCCATCCCACCCCATCCTACCCCTCTCACATTACTAGATGTCAGAACCCGCCCCCCCCTTTTGAAATTCCCTTCTTCTTTGTAGAACGAGGACTACAGGGGCTTCTGAAAGAATGTGTTTGCTCTTCCACCAAAAAAAGCAGAAGAGCAAACACGTTCCCTGGATGCAGCACAGTTTTTGGGGATACCTCTGGTATCCTGAAAAAGCCCCACAGTCTTACCGTACCCCAGAATATTTACTGTTTAACATATATTCCTTTTCTTTCCTAATGGCTCCTAACATTCTGTTAGCTTTTGTGATTGGTGCTGTAAATTGATATTTCCAGAGAACTATCCACAGTGACCCCATAGTCTGTTTCTTGATCCATCAACAGCTAATATAGACCTCTTCATTTTGTGTGTGTAACTGGGATTATGTTTTCCAATGAGCATTGTTTTGTATTTATTAACAGTGAATTTCATCTGCCATTTTGTTGCCCAGTTTTGTGAGATCCCTTTATTACTCTTCACAATCTGCCTTGGACTTAACTATCTTTGAGTAATTTTGAATCATTTGCAAAACTTTGTCGCTTCACTATTTCCCCTTTTTCAGATCAATTATAATATGTTGAACAGGTCTGGCCTCAGTACAGGTTCCTGGGGAAACCCTGCCACTTGTGTTTTTAAAATCAGAAAAAAAAGGACCATATATTTCTACCCTTTGTTTACTCCCTTTTAGGCTATGTCTAGACTGCAGGCTTCTTTCTGAAGAAGCTTTTCCAGAAGAAATCTTCCAAAAAAACTTCTTCCAAAAGAGAGCATCCATACTGACCAAGTACATTGAAAAAGCGATCCGCTTTTTCAAAAGATAGTGTCCATACTGAATGGACACTCTCTCACATTTAAGATGTCATTATTATGAACAGAGTGGCCACAAGGGCACCTGTGCTTTTTCCTCTTTCCAAAAAACTCCCTCTTCTCCGTCCACACACGCCTTTTTTCCGAAAGAGTTATTTCAGAAAAAGGCTTCTTTCTCTTAGAAAGAGGTTTACTAATGTTGGAAAAACTCCTCTATTCTTTCAATATTTTTTTGAAAGAATGCGATTGCAGTGTGGATGTAAGTGAATTTTTTCAGAAAAAAAGGCCGTTTTTCCGAAAAAACTTTGCAGTGTAGACATGCTCTTAATGACTTACTGATCCAACACCTTCCCTCTTTTTTCCCATGCTTACTTGCTTAAGATTCTTTAGTGAGGAACATTGTCAAACGCTTTCTGGAAATCCAAGTGCACTATGTCCAAGTGTTGTCTTGCACACATATCACCACTAATTCACCAGAACAATTTAATCTGTCTCATCTATGTACCCCTCTGTCTTCCTTAGCTCCCCGCCACTCTGGTCTCAAGAGCCTATATTCAGTCTCCCTGTGCCATGAGCTGCTTGCATCAAATGAACACATATGTTGCCTACTCACAAAGGAAGTAATCATACCCTATGCATTCAATGTGATAAACTGGATAGCCCCCATAGGAAGTTAATGAGTAATTTAAGCTGCAGAGAGGTAATGGGAGACTTGGCTGATAAAGTGCTACGAACAATGTAAGAGTATTTTTGCAAAGCTCTATTCAATAAGGCTTTAAGCAATGCCCCTTGATCCTTGATAGATAAGAATACAATTTGGGGCCCAAACCTGCACATAACTACTTCTGCACGTTGTGCTGTGAAAGGAAATAGGATTACTCACATAAGTGAAGACTGCTAGCATGAGGAAAGGCTGCAGAATCAGGCCCTTTACAAGGATGACTATGATGTCTATCAGCTCATTTTCATTGTTGTTTTTTTTAGCAGAGCATGTTCTAATGTCCCCAATAGTCACCCACTCTCCTCTGAAACACCTTACATTGTTTTTCACTTTTAGAGAATTGTATGTTTATTTTTTAATCTGAATGCCCAAAATGTTTTATCTGCTGGTTTATACATTTCTTAAATAGCTGTGGCATTGAATCAATGATCTCTTTTCAGCAGTTGTGCTCATTACAGAACATTCCCCCTAGATTGTGACATCATAATCCAATCCATAGCCAGCTGCAAAAGAACCAACAATTCTACTTTACCGAGGAGGCCAATTTTCATGTTAATGAAGCCACAATGAAGTGTCACGGCTGACAGGCATAAAATAAACCTTAGTTTAAGCAGGTAGAATAAATTGATTTAAATAGCTGTACATTTCTGAAAATCAGGGAATTCTTGAAATGTGATCATTGTGTTTAAAATACATTACTGTGGATAGTGAAAATATATTATTTTTACTTATAATAGCAAGCCAAAAGTCAAAGCTAAAACATTTTACGGAAGGCAGGGTTAGTTCCCAAATCAAAATATAAAATAGTACTTTGTAAATCATGTCCCTTTCCGGAGGTAGTTACATGTTACAATAGATCTCTGTTAGCTTCAATTATCTTTCAATACTTACAGCAAATTTCTCTTGAAAAACATTTTCTTGGACAGCTAGTTGCACCTCAACTGAAGTAAGATAAATCGGGTTAGATATCACAAGTGACACTTTGTGTATCTGTAATATTGTCAAAAAAGCAGCACCTTTAATCTGCTATGCTGGCATGATGAAATAGCAGCAAAGCAGGTTTTAATAGAACAGCGACCTAACACTTGTCGAAACAAGTGCATCAATGTACTATGACAGCTTCTGATTAAAAATATTGATTTATCCTGTATCTCACTTTCAGAGCTGGAGAATTATGGGAATTTGCTGGAATCCTTCAGACATATCTATTTTGTAATTTCTCAAGGCAGCAACAGCACCCTGAAATCAAAAGCCAATGTAACTGTAGCTATGTATGAATTTAGCCTCAGTGTTTTTTATACCACCTTTTGATTTTATTTATGTTACTAGTCTTCTTAGGAAAACTATTTAGTTATGATCTTATAATATATTGATTTCCAATTTAAATAATAATAATAATACTAAACTCTATATCGGGGTGGGCAAGAAGCTGCAGACGGACTTGATTCAGTCCACAAAGCCACCAGATCCAGCCTGTGGCTGCCTCACCAGAACTCTTAGGCAGAGAACATCTCTCTCTTTAAAAAGCCAGATGTTCTCTGTTATGAATGGCTGGGGAGGAAGGAGGGAGACTTCTCATGCTCTTCCTACCCCTCCCCAGCAAAATCTCTTAGCTCCCATTGGCCAATTTCTCATTTTCCAGCCAATAGGAGCTGAGAATTTTTGCTGGGAGAAGAGGCAGTGTAGAAAGCCTTCTCCCTCCCTCCTCAACTTCCTCCTCCCCCCCTCTCTCATGCCCAAAGTGGAGCCACACGGAGCAGTCTGCCTCAAATTTCTGCTGGTAAGCTCCTCCCAGAAAGAGTCTGCATCTGGCACTCCAGCCCTTCCCCAACCCTCTGCCCCTCTCTCCACATACCCCAAACCTCTGCCCCCTCCTTCACCCACACTCCCTCCTAGATCTGGCACCACAGTCTCCTTCAATCCTCTCCTATCCTAGGTCACATCCCAAAATTCTGCATCCAAGTCCCCTGACCTAGGTCACAACTGCCTCCTTCACCCAAACTCCCTCCCAGACTCCATTCTCCCTCCTGCACCCCAGTCCCTTACCCCAAGCTCCCTTCTGCACTAACCTCCATCCTAGGCCCTGAAATTCCTCCATTAATATTCTGGAAGAGTGAGGTCCTTGACCACTTTCTAAAATCTTGGAGTGGTACTCCCTTAAAAAGTTACTGCCCTCCCATGCTCTATACAATTCCTGTTAGTGTTGTAGATACAACTGTATGCATATATTAGTGTTTCTCTGCTCCCATAATCAATATATACAGATATTCTTTCCATCAGTAGAGCTGTTATGCTGAAAGAATTGATCTGAAAAATGAGATATGGCTATGAGAAGGGAGTCCTGGTGTGATGGAATTCAAACATCTGGAAAGACCCAAATAGGCATGACTTTTACTAGGAGTTGAATACCTAACTGACCTCTGATTTTGAAAATCTTCCTCTAAACCTCAAAATGACTTGTACTCCTGAGTTATACAGACATTTTTGGAAAAGCCACTCTCAAAGTTTTGATATGAATTTAGGGGCCTAGTTTTAGGCATCAGTTAAATCTTAGTTGAATAGGTCTTACTCTCTAACTACTTTTAAAATTGCTTGTTTCTCTCCAAAGCTCTTGTAAAGAAAAGAAAATCTCTCAATTCTAATGGCAAAAAAATACAAGTTTTTGGTAGGAAAATGTTGATGGAGCTTTTTTTTTAAGTTTTGAGTATTTGTTTTTATTCTGGTTATTTATAGAAGAGCAAAAGAAATCACTATTCATAGATTTCACCATCTCAGCAGCAGGAAGTCGAAGGAAGAACACTCTTTCTTTGACTTCCCTTACTACTTGTGAAATGAGGGTTACAGAAGTTGGAGTAAGAAGCTCATTATTTTGAAATAACATGAGTTATTTCAAAATAAGCATGCAGTGTAGACATAGCCTAAGGTGCCACAGGACTATTTGTTGTTTTTAAAGTTGCAGACTAACACATCTACCCCTCTTAGACTATTCATAGAGATCTTTTTGAGAAATGACAATGGCAATTAAAATAGCCTTTTGTGAAATGTGGGCTATTTACAGAAAGGTTTTGAAAACTAACAATGTAAAATGCCCAGGGAAACTCTTTGAACTGTATGTTCTTAGGTTATATACCAGTATATATATTTTAAAGAGTGTTGAATTCTGAGCTAGCACACAGTGTTTCTTCAGTGCAACAAGTAGTCATGTGGAGAGACCATTATATTAGTTCTGGTGTGAGCGAATGTTGAATAGCAGTTGCCAGTCATTTCAAGAGAGTGTTATAGTCTTGATAGCACAATTGAACCACTGGGAAAATGAACCATTTTGACTACAGAATGACTTAAAATGTGAATTATCATTTGTCTCCCTTTCTTCTGTCTCTCTAACTTGACATGTTACTTTTGGAAAACGAAGGGCTATTGGAGGAATAATTCTAAAGGAGGAAGTTAGAGGAGGTTAATGATGAAGAGATTTGTGAGGACAGAATAGGTGAGTCCATTACTGATTATAATGAATGTAAAAGTCACCTAGGATTCCTGATGAGTCTCTCAAACTCACATTATATTTCACTTTCTACAATTTATAAATGAAAATTGTGATGATTACTTAAATTTTGTGTGTGTGTGTAAAAGTGCTGCAATTGGATAACTTTGTACTAGAAGATAAAATGACAGTAGTATGCAGCCCATGTTCAGATAGCATATTTTAAAATTGTGTTTTTTGTCAGAGGAAGAGTTTTACAAATATAAAACCTTATATGAATATAAAACCATGGCTACTATACTGTAAGATGGAATTAAAAATGTATTTTAAATTGTATTGTTAATAATTTTAAGATTATAGCTCAATAGAGCAATTACTGAAAAATGACGGTTTACAAGTGATCAAGGTAATAGCAGTACAAGTAAAATAAGTATAAAATAATCATAACATTCTGAAAACCCTTTGGATAAGGTATTTTAGGTAGAATTGCTAATAATTACAGGTTGGACCTCCCTGGTCCTGCACCGTTGGGACCTGAGCTGTCTCAGATCAGGAAATTTGCAGGATCAGTGAAAGTCAAGGCTCCCTTGCTTGGCTGTCCTGATGATGACTCCCTTCCCTACTGGCTCCAGAGGTTGGGGCTCCCAGGCCTGCCACTGCCCCACTAAAGCTGGCCCAGTGGAGACTCCCCACCCTGATGCCTACCAGCTGCATCGGGTGGTTTCCAGGGGTTCCCCAGCCAGGGCTGCCTGGCTGCCACCAGCCCTGCTACCACCGGCACTTCCTTGGGGTCTCCCAGCCCCTGGCTGTTGCTGGCTCTTCTGCTGCCAAGGGTTTCCCAGGGTTCCCCAGCCACTTCCAGCCCTGCTGCCAGGTTCTCTCTGGCCCCACTGACAATGGGGGTATCCCGGTTAGGGCTGAGGCTCCCCAATGTTGCCTGGCCCCACTGATGCTGGGGTTCCCCTGCTGGTACTAGGATTCCCCGGGTACTGCTGGGATTCCCCAGCCAGTGCTCCTGAGCCACTGCCTGGCCTCACAGCCACTGGGGGTTTCGTGGTCAGGGCTGCCTGGCCATCCCAGTCCCACTGCTGCTGGCAGTTTCCCAGGGTTCCTCAGCTGTCATTGGCCCCACTGCCAGGTACTCTCCAGCCGCTTGACTCCACCTTAAACTGGGGTTCCCGGTGGAAGGGAGGCTCCCTGATGCCTCCTAGCTCCTCTGATGCCAGGGTTCCCCTGCCTAGCTGCTGCTGGCATAGCCAGGACTCCGCAAACCCCACATTCCCTTGGATGGCTCTCACTCCTGTGGCTCTTTGATCCAGCAATATTCATGCCAGACCATGGATGTTGCTGGACCAGAGAGTCACGGATTTGGGAGTTTCAACCTGTATAAAGAATATAATTTCAGTGCGTGAATACAGAACTAAGCCATAACTTAATTTTTTATTAATCAAATTCTAGATAAGGAATGTTACCTAATTTCACTGGAGACCAATCCAGTGTTACACTTGTATTGATTTATTCAATGCCGCTATTGGATCAAATGAAAAGGGAATGGAACTCCTTCACACACATGCTCACACACTCAGCCACTCAGATGCTCATACACTTACACATACAACGAATTGCCATTCATTCTCTCAGTTCTCTTCTCTTTATTGAGCTGGGTGGCCCCTGTGATCTACACTGAGCTCTTTTTCTGTGTCCATCACCGAGAGGCCCACCCAGACCTTATTTTCCTCATGCATATTAATTCCTTCTTCTCATCTTCACTGCACCTCTGTTTCTTGTCTTTCTCATGTGCAAGTGAGGATTTCATCAGACCCCCACCTAGCCCCTTGCTCCTCTTTATAGTTTCAAGGCTCCTCTCCACAAAGCCATAGACATTCCCCTATTCATACCACTTACACTCATGTACTCTCTTGTCACAGGATAGAATGTTACAGTGCTTAAAGATCATACAAACAATAGCTGGAAGTTACAAAGCTTGTAAGACATTACAGAACTTGAACCATTACATGAAAGTTTCATGGCTTACAATAGAAACAGACATATCTTAGAACACTTGAGTTACATGGCTTACAATAGAAATGGACATATCTTAGAACACCTGAGAGTTACATAGCTTACAACAGCAGAGAGCCATGTGACTTGCAATGGCTGAAACTGACATGACTTATAATACAAAAACTAACATCTCTTTCATTCACATTATATGGGATTGGGCTGAAGTTTTACACAACAAGGTAGATCTAGTTATTTAATTTGCAAATCTTTCAAAATTAAAATTGAGTCCACCTATTACTTTTTACTTACTACTTTTATATTACTTTTTGGATCATATCATTTTAATACAAAATATAAATAAGAAGCTATACAAAATTCTTTTTTATATTCATCAGCTTATTTCAATTGAAAAGCCAATGGAATTAGGCCCCTATTGAGATCATAAGTAAACACAAACATATTACTTTCCAGATAATACCAACATCTGATAACAGAAAAACCCTGTAATGCTGTCAGAACTGCTTTTTTTCTGTCAAATTCCAACTAAATTAGAGCAACATATATTCAACAAGAAAGCATGCAAGATTTGGTTCTTATTGATTTATTGATGACTATATGCAAATATGCAGTTTTCACAGAGAGTCAAATGGAAGTAAACTTACATGAGAAATTTCCTGTAAGGATACCATCAGTGCAGGATTCTCATATGCCTCTAGGGGAAGTCACGTGGGAAACTCATTTCAACTCTTAAGTCTTTTTACCCTTTGAGACACCCAAGCTGGAGTTAGGGCTCAGTCACACTGCACAGGCCCGAACTCAGGCACCTCAAATACCAGAGGGCTTTCCATTCTATTTCTTCTCAGTACTGTCAGTGACAGAGCTCCCACCCTTGAGCTGCCCACAGGTTATTGGCTTCTTGGTTCCAGCTTTCATAAACAAAATTTTCCTGAGTCCATGTGGCTACGTCTATTTTTTCTCTGTGTGTCGCTTTCAACATTGATATTCTTCTGTGTGTCTTTCTTTAGGTTCAGTTGGCTCCAATCAGAGAAGTCACCAATTTCCCAGTGTAGGCTCCGAGAAGAACACTGATGGGACACCTCATGTTGCCTGGCCTAACGTCGCATGGAATAAGCTTTCTTGCCTTCTGGGAGCAGCATGGGCTTTAGTTTGGCAAGAACAGATGTTCTGGTGTGAGCTCCTTTATTCCTCATGAGACACTACATTATTGCAACCAGATAAGTGACACTCGGTGTATTTGCAATATTGAAGTAACCTTAACACAGATGTTAATGTAATGTGGCTTGCCAGAAGTCTCCGAACATGGGTGCTTCAATACAGATGAACAGCTCAGGGCTTGAGAATGTTTCTTCCTGTTCCCAAGGGTTGATGTTGTCAAGAACATCAGTGCAGAGGAACAGCACAAACATCTAGACCTCTTCCTCATGGAGTCCCTGTTCAACACATGAAGATCTCCTGAGAGCTGCTTACATATGATGTAACATGGAAATCCCACCGGCACCTCCAATTCCCTTCACCTCCTAAGGTAAGGATCATCAGTGCAAAAGGAATGGCCTCTGAGCAACTTCTATTTGTATGACTCAATGTATCAACATCGGAAGGCAGGCTTCATGCAGAAAGGCTCCTCCTTGCCTCTTAATTGGTAGGTCTTAGGCATTAGAGGAGCACCCTGAGAACCCAGAAGGTTGTCTCTAATGGCTTAGTCTCTTAGCATTAGGAGACTGACTTAATGACAGCTGGAAATCTTGCCTTGCATCTACTGTGAGTCAGTGGAATACAAAGATTACAAACCTCTGAGTTTCTTTCCACAGGTCTTGAAATTCTAAATTTTAGCATTCCCTTCTCTGCTCAGCATATTGGTGTAGATGTGCTGAAAGATGAATGTTAGTGAGCAGTCTGCCTTATGTAAAGGTAAAGTGATTCCACAAGCTCAGCAGGGATTTCCCATTCCATATGGCAATGTGGTTCCACATTTGAGTTTGTCATCCTGCAAACTTTCTTGTGATATTGAAAACTAATCTTCAGAAGCTAACACAGTAAAACCAAATTAATTAAGTCTTAAAATGCTAGCAATCTGAGATCCTTAAGTGGAAGACTCTATAGACATGCATTATTGTTGTTTCAAGGGTAGATATAATTTGATAGTTTTCTCATTTGTTGTTGCAATATATAACTGCTGGAATTATAACTTTGTTTTCATTTGATATGTAATGATATTACTCACCAGTGGCATAGCACCACCATTCAAATGAAATTGACATTCCTGGAGGTGATTAAAAAACACTACCAGAAGAAGCAAGACTTCAAGGGTTTACTATTGAAAAGATGCATTCACGAGCTTCAGGAAGGATCTCAACATCAACGGACCATATCAAAATGGGTATAGTGAGGCAGACTCCAACATCAAAGCAAGGCAAAGGGAATTAAGTATTGCCTCTTTGTTGAATAAATAAAATAATAATGCTAATTTATTAGAGTTCAATCTAATTTCTACTGAAATTAATAGGAATCTTTTCCATTGCCTCAATATGCACCATATATATCCTTTAGGGAAGCCATGGGGAGTCAAAAAGTTAAATTCTTACAATAATTAATAATTAACATATATCATAGGTATATAATAATAAAAGGGATTGTACCCGAATTATTTGATCAGGAGGAAAAATCAGTGAAGTCTGTACAAAAGCAGGAAAAGTAAACCCTTGGAAAAATGACAATAATAATTGCAAGATAATCAAACAAAATTGTAAAATCAAGCAGATTAACGATTTCATATATAAAAGACTATCCACTACAATCAGTATGTGTTTTCCAGGGCACACAGTATTCTTTATAAGAATTATATTGTGCAGAAGCTAAACTGAATTTAGAAAATCATTAACCTCAGAAAAGCTTGTTAAATGATTGTATTGTCGTAACTTGTCTTTGCTGTCAGTAGTTTCTGCCATTAGGGTTCTCTAGTCCTCTTGACTGAGTATAGCCTAATCAGTAACATTGGATAGAAAACTCTATTTAGCTAAAAATAACAGTATGTTATGGCAGACATTTGATTAAAGAAATTGTATGTTAGTTTTCAAACCCAAGAGAACATCAAAATAGGAGAGTAGACGAAATAACCAAGCTTTCACCTAGCCAGCTGAAGGTGGTTCTTCTCTAAAAGAAACCCATCTGTGCTATGTTATTTCTTTTAGTACAGAGATGAAGGTCTCATCTGTCTATGTACTTCTGTATCTTAAACAATGTGAATTAAATATAAACTGTAAAGGCCAGTAGAAAAATTGATCTTAGCTCTTTTTCAATGGAAAATTGCCGTTACAGTTTAAATAATATTTCCACATAAAGGATTTGCTTTCCACAGAAAATTTTGTCTTCTCATTAGAAAAAGGCAAAAAACAATTGTTTTTCACTGTTTTGATGAAAAATTAAATTTTCTGTGGAAGACAAAATCATTTGCCTACCGTTTCTCTTAAATATGTAGGTTGGGGTGGGGAGCCTGCGCTATCACATCAGCCCCCTGCTGTCCTCCTGTGGGCCTGAAGCACACAAAATTGTTCTCCTTTTCTCTCAGTGGGTGGTCACATCAGAGAGGGTTTTTTTTGTTTGTGTTTGGTTTTCTTTCTTTTCACTTGTGTGTAGGGTTGCCAGATAATTAAACCAAAAATACCAACCTCCCCACCCCAAAAAAAATAACTGTTGAGAAAAAAAAGTCGCAGCCCATGAGAGTGATAGGAATCGCATTGAGTCAGGTACATGCACACCTGGTAAACAACTATAGTATAACATCACTGGGAGTCACACCCCTCTGAGGGTATGTCTACACTGCCACCCTAGTTCGAACTAGGGTGGCTAATGTAGGCATTCAAACTTGCAAATGAAGCCCGGGATTTAAATATCCCGGGCTTCATTTGCATGTTCCCGGGCGCCACCATTTTTAAATGCCCCGTAGTTCGAACTACCTGCCCGCGGCTACACGCGGCACGGACTAGGTAGTTTGAATTAAAGCTCCTAATTCGAACTACTGTTAAGCCTCCTTGAAGAAGGAATAACGGTAGTTTGGATTAGGAGCTTTAATTCAAACTACCTAGTCCGTGCCGCGTGTAGCCGCGGGCAGGTAGTTCGAACTACGGGGCATTTAAAAATGGTGGCGCCCGGGAACATGCAAATGAAGCCCGGGATATTTAAATCCTGGACTTCATTTGCAAGTTCAAATGCCTACATTAGCCACCCTAGTTCAAATTAGGGTGGCAGTGTAGACATACCCTGAGAGTCTCAACAGGGACCTAGACCTTAGAATCATGGAATCATAGAACTTTAGAGCTGGAAGAGACCTCAGAAGGTCAAGAGACCTCAGAAGGTCAGCTCCCTGCTCTAGGCAGGATCAATCCCAACTAAATAAACCTAGCCAGGGCTTAGTCAAGCTGGGACTTAAACACCTCTAGGGATGGAGACTCCACTACTTCCCTAGGTAACCCATTCCAGTGCTTCACCACTCTCCTAGTGAAATAGTTTTTCCTAATATCCAGTCTGGATCTCTCCCACCACAACCTGAGACCATTGCTTCTTGTTCTGCCATCTGTCACTCTCACTCTTCGCTTCTGCAGACTAAACAGACCCAAGTCCCTCAGCCTCTCCTCGTAGGTCATATGCTCCAGACCCCTAATCATTTTGGTTGCCCTCCGCTGGACCCTCTCCAATGCGTCCGCATCCTTTTTGTAGTGGGGGGCCCAGAACTGGACACAGTACTCCAGATGTGGCCTCACCAAAGCCGAATAAAGGGGAATAATGACATCTCTGGATCTGCTGGCAATGCTCCTCTTAATGCATCCTAATATGCCATTAGCCTTCTTGGCTACAAGGGCACACTGTTGACTCATATCTAGCTTCTCATCCACTGTAACCCCCAGGTCCTTTTCTGCAGAACTACTACTTAACTGGTTGGTCCCCAGCCTGTAACTATGCTTGGGATTCTTCCGTCCCAAGTGCAGGACTCTACACTTGTCTTTGTTGAATCTCATGAGATTTCTAGTGGCCCAATCCTCCAATTTGTCTAAGTCACTCTGGACCCTATCTCTGCCCTTAAGCGTATCTACCTCTCCCCCTAGCTTAGTGTCATCTGCAAACTTGCTGAGGGTGCAATCTATCCCCTCATCCAGGTCATTAATAAAGATATTGAACAAAACCGGTCCTAGAACCGAACCTTGGGGCACTCCACTAGAAACCGACCTCCATCCTGACATCGAACCGTTGATCACTACCCGCTGGGCCCGGCCTTCTAGCCATCTTTCTATCCATCTTACCGTCCATTTATCCAATCCGCATTCCCTTAACTTGCTGGCAAGAATATTGTGGGAGACCGTATCAAAAGCCTTGCTAAAGTCAAGGTATATAACATCCACTGACTTTCCCATGTCCACTGAGCCAGTTACCTCATCATAGAAGCTAATCAGATTGGTCAAGCACGACTTGCCCTTTGTGAATCCATGCTGACTATTCCTGATCACTTTCCTCTCATTCAAGTGTCTCAAAATGGATTCCTTAAGGATCTCTTCCATGATTTTTCCAGGAACCGAGGTAAGACTGACCGGCCTATAGTTCCCTGGATCATCCTTCTTCCCTTTTTTGAAGATGGGCACTACATTTGCCTTTTTCCAATAATCCGGGATTTCTCGCGACCTCCACGACTTTTCAAAGATAATGGCTAAAGGCTCCTCAATGACATTTGCCAACTCCCTCAGTACCCTCGGATGCATTAAGTCTGGACCCATGGATTTGTGTAAGTTTAGCTTTTCTAAATAGTTCCTAACCTGTTCTTTACCCACCAAGGGCTGTCCATCTTCATCCCATCTTGCGTCACTTAGCGCATTAGTCCGGGAGCCCACCTTGTCCGTGAATACAAAGGCAAAGAAAGTATCGAGTACTTCAGCTTTCCCCACATTATCTGTCACTAGGTTACCTCCTTCATCCAGTAGGGGCCACACCCTGTCTGATCACCTTCTTCTTGTTAACATGCCTGTATAAACCTTTCTTGTTATCCTTCTCATCCTTAGCCAGTCACAATTACATCTGTGCTTTCACCTTTCTGATAACCCCCCGGCCTTCTCAAGCTATACATTTATACCCCTCCCTTGTCATAAGTCCAAGTTTCCACTTTTTGTAAGCTTCCTTTTTGTATTTAACTTTACCAAGGATTTCCCGCGTAAGCCAATCCGGTCTCCTACCATGTTTGCCTCTCTTGCTATGCATCAGTACAGTTTCTTTCTGTGCCTTCAATAATGCTTCTTTAAAACACTGTCAGCTGTCCTGGAATCCTTTCCCCTGCATGTTAGCATCCCAGGGGATTCTGCCTATCAGATCTCTGAGGGAGTCGAAATCTGCT